GCAAACGACCAAGCGGCCACTAGAATACGCCGCTGCCCATAAACATCCGCAATTGCAGATGCGTTGCCTACCCTTATATGACGGAGGAGACGCACATAAAGAGCATATTTCCCCATCCTATGCATCTCCTCCACTGTCAAATCCACTTCCCCTCCCCAACCTCTCCTTATAAGAAAAGGATGGTAAAGAGAAAGGACTTAAATTAGGCCTCTGGCACCACACTTGTAAGACGAAACATGGAATTGCTTCCATTTCACACCTGTCTTCTGTGTGGTTGTGGTATTACACCGGGTGTGCCGGCCCTGCAGTGCTAAGATGTTAAAGAGGACACTCCCTATATATATGTATATTTTGACCCAAAACCCAACAAAAGCCTTTAAATTAAGCAATCAATGTTTGAAAAAACAATATTGCAGAAAAAAGTCTACCACCTAATCATAATGAGTGGTGCACACTTAGTCAGTACAGTTAGTAGACTATTACTGGACTGTCAATCAACTGGAACAATGTAAACATTAACAAAAAAAAAATTATTGATGTAAAAGCTAGTGCTTAAGCACAATCTCAGCTGATTTTAATTGGTGAAGTGGTAAAAGGATAATACATGCCTGGTTAATAACTAACTGGTACCAGTGAGGCCATAAAATGGCTGTTGCAACTGTCTGACTGTACAGGCCATAAAACATTAACTAGACTTCAAGGTCGTAACAGAATATGTAACAAAACATACCTGCAGCAGCAATAGCCTTTTCCTCTTTGAGTTTCGCGTCTCTGATCACCTTCTCTTTGGCTTCTACCTCACGGATCTTGGCCTCCTTCTTTGATAGCCTGTTCTGATGGAAGGCACCGTACAAGATACCGGCAGTTAAGAACGACCAACGCCCGAACTGAAAAATGTTAAGGTATAAAATTATTTTTAATTAAACCGAAGTTAATAAAATTATTGAAAATAGACTTTTGTTTCATTAACATCGTAGGTACTTTTGTTCGTTTATTCCTTGCATAATCATTGGAATCAGAATTTGAAAAAAGAACACTTTATTTTTTATAGTTAATAGTTAAAGGTGAAAGAAATTTATTCGCAAGTAATTTCTATCAATGTTATTACAACAAATATTAATAATGAATTAAAAGTATATATTATTATAAGTGTGAGAAAATAAAGAAATTTAAAGGGAATTTACGAGGGTGCATAACATTACATGTTACATAATAATATATTGGAAAAATGTTCAAATATTTACCCGAATCAAAGGCGATACCCTGACTGGTGGTCCATAAGGAAGGTCAGACATTTTGCACTATTTCCTAAAGAAATTTAGTGTAAGAAAAGAGATTTTGCAATTAAAATCTCCAGACGATCTCCGCAGAGGTTATAATACAGTAGTGTTGCCAACTGTCAATGTTATAGAAATGTCTGATTATTTTCTTTTTATTCAAAAACGATTTTTAAAATGTTTATGTTGTTAATTTTTTTACATCTTTTAACTTTATTATTTTACAAAACATTTTAAATGTAAGTTTTGCTCAAAATCCAAACGATACCAAAAATTAAAAATAACGTTTTCTCTTCTGGCAATTGCATTTTGACAAATAATAATCGTGATCGTTCAATGCAAAAGTTTGACGTCATATCTTTTATAGGCATGTGCACAACAAACAAGTTTTTTTTAACAGCTACTTTAACTGTTCCCGATGGTAACGTTAAAACATTGTTTTCATCGAAAAATGTCATGGAAAGATAACGACGAAAAATTGGGGGAGTTTGTACCCCATGTACTAAGGTACTCAAATTGAACGAACTTAAATCATTCAAAAATAACAGTCAAAAGAATAAATAGATAGTATAGTTTTGTACCGTAAAATAAAGCAATAATCAGGGTTTACCTAATGAACCGTATATACCGCGGGAATCCACGGTACTTCAGGAAAAATTGCCTTGATCATTTCAACAAGACAAATACCGCCTCTTCCAACAAATAACTATATTATTAAATATCCGTGAGTGGTTTATTTTTTAACTATATTATTAAATATCTGAGGTTTTTCGTCTTGGTTTTAAACGATTGTAGCTTTTCAGGTGGAACACCGCAAGTTTCCCCGACTGTACCAATTGTATAGGGGGGTGTTTTTAACTTTTGAAAGCTAGTTTTCTTATATGAAATTTAAAAGTCATTTTAACCAGAAATGTTTTTCATTTAAAAGAATCAAGAACGACGAAGAAAATCTGTGTAAACGTTAATCTACACTAATATTATAAAGAGGAATAATTTGAATTTTTGAATAGATTGTAAGAACTTAAAAACTACTGGGCCGATTTTAAACATTTCACTTCACTTTTTTTCTCTTTTCACTTTCACCATTAGAAAGGTCTTACCATTAGGATTAGGTAAATTACACAATTAGGTAATTTCCAACAGACGAAGTCGCAAGCAACATCTAGTTTAAAGTAAAATTTGTGTGAAGAATTCTACGGTTACGTTATATGTAAAATAACAGTTTTAAGTTACATGTTATAACGGTGTCTAATCAAAGAGTTAAAATACGAAATATCGAATCAATCAGTCGTCAAAATGGCGTTGATTATGCCGTTTGTGTCTGTTGCAGTTTCAATACTTTACACGCCGTTTTTACTTTTTATATTGTGTATAATATTCCTGGCGTCGATTGGAAAATCTCTCGGTGTTCGGAGGTTATACGTGAATATACTTTTGAAGCTATTCGAAGTAAGTCAAGTGAAAGTATTTTATCTATATTTAATAGATTTTTAATCGAATTTGTTAGGTTAGTTTTATTTCTATTCTTTTTGTTATTTATCTTTTGTATTTATGTTAAATTACAAGATATTTTTCATATGTTTTTATCTAGTTAAGATGTAAATCGTGGGAGTATTTTGATATACCGGTGACTCACGTCAACCGCTCTTTTAACCATTTGTCGTAATATTTTTATTGCTTTCGTCTTAAAATAACAGTCGCAAATAAACAAATATAGATAGCCACATTTTCTTTAATCTATTCATCTTATTTTCGGTCGATATAATAATTTTATTTCCAATATTATCTACATAGATTTGTAGGTTGTCATTTGAAGTATACAACTACTCCTACTAGTCTTGGGTAGTACACGTACGATGTACTAAAAGTAACGTTACCGAACAGCTTCTGTTAATCGGACATTTAGTACTTTTAGTACACTACACGATATCGGTGTTCGCCTCTTCGTTGTTTGATTTGATTGAATATTTGCTAGATTGAAGCATCCACCTTCGATTATGAGAATCAATAGTGGATAAAACTATCCATAACTAAATTTATTTTCGCTAATAGCATATCTCCTACCTCTATGTGAGGTATACCATATAATGGTATACCGTTTACCATCAAAGGAGAACCTGTAGTCTTCATTATATGTCTGTGGTTTAGCAACAAAAACAACTTTTTATTAAAATTTTACAGATTTAATACACTACATTTTACTTCTTACTAATATAAATGTGAAAGTTTAGATGGATGTTTGTTTATTTGTAGCCTAAACTGCTGAACAGATCTTCATATTTGTCATAGATGTAGAGCATAGTCTGGAAGAACATGTAGGCTGTTCATCATCATCATCACCAGCTCACTATACTTCCCCACCGAGGGGCTCGGAGCCTACCCTAAGTTAGTGACTAGGACATAGTCAACTACGCTGGCCAAGTGTGTGTTTGTTGACTTCACACATATCTTTGAATTTCTTCACCGATATGTGCAGGCATCACAATGTTTTCCTTCACCGTAAGAACGTCGGGTAAATTATGTACATATGAAAATTCGAAAAATCGAAAATCACATTGTTTCAGCGGGATTCGAACCCAAGAACTGTAGATTACAAGTCAAGTGCTTAAACCACTGAGCCAACAACGCTCTATATAGTATATTGCTCTATATAGCTATTCAATTTTGTTTTTTTAATTCTCAAGATAGGCAAAAGCTAGTAAGAAATGTAAACGCAATTGGAGATATTTATAATGTAAATATAGGGAACCATTATCAATTAAGAATTGTTTATCAAGTATACTCTATCTTATTTGATTTTCCAGTTTAGTGATAACTTTGACCTTCCTTGTCCGTCTAAGGTTCAAATTAAATGTATTTATTACCATTTGTTTATATTTATCTATACTAATATAAAGAGGAAGAATTTGTATTTTTGGATTTTTGTATGTATTTGATTCACACACAAACTACTGGGCTGATTTAATTCCTTTCACCATTAGATAGGTAATTTATCTGTGAGTAATATCATACTAATATTATAAATGTGAAAGTTTAGATGGATGGATGTTTGTTAGAGTTTGTAGCCTAAACGGCTGAACGGATTTCGATGAAATTTGGTATAGATGTAGAGGATAGTCTGGAAGAACACATAGGCAACTCACTTTTGTTTTCTTTAATTCCACGCGGACGGAGTCGCGGGCAAAAGCTAGTATAGGCTATAATTGTAATTTTTTTTTCAAATTTCACACAGGCGAAGGTGTGCTGTAGCTAGTCTGTGGATAAATTGATGGGTGTAAAAGCAAATCTTAAATTAAATTATTTTGTTCATACTATACACAAAATTGAAGTTTATTAAGCAATTATGCATAGTTTAATAAGAATTGGTTTTTAGTTTTGTATGCATATGCACTATGCTTACAATGGAGGGTACCCAACTCTGTCTAGGTGATGTCAATAAAGTCTGCATCATCAACTTGCCCTTTTTTTATAACATAAGGTACTGTACATACCGCTGCCCATAGACATCCGCAATTGCAGATGCGTTGCCTACCCTTATCAGATGGAGGAGGAGACGCACATAAAGAGGATATAAGTGGGTCAGCACAGCATGTCCTCTATACATCTCTATCTGAATTCACTCCCTTAAGCACATCTTTCACACAATACATACTTCTGTCTTCCTCTAAATTTGTACATCCACATTTAGTCTTAATACTTTCTTTTTTATGACATCTCCCCGCATATGTCCATACATATGCGGGGAGATGTCATAAAAAAGAAAGTATGAAATGATATGGTATGGACCATATCATTTCTGAACTAAGCAAGTGTTGTTTTATAACATACTAGCTTTCGCCCACGACTCCGTCCACATAGAATTAAAAATAACAAAAGTGAGTAGTACAGTCATGATATCACTAGGTTACATAAGCTATATTTACTCCTAGAATTATTAAATTCCAAGCAAAGTTGCAAACCAAAGCTATATCCTAGTTACCATAAATTGTGTAGATATCTCAATGAAAACAGCGTCACTTATCTAAGTCAAAGTCAACTAAGCAAAGGTCACTTAATGGATATGTGCAATCAACTTCTAATATTGTGAATCTAAAAGTTTAGATGGATGTTTGTTAGAGTGTAGCCTAAACTGAATGGATCTTGATAAAAGACTTAAATGTAGAGGATAGTCTGGAACATAGGCTACTTGCTTTTGTTTTTTATTTTTAACTAGTAGTTCTCATGCGACTTCATCCGCATAAAATTATGAAAATTTCATTTTCTTGTTTACATCTGTCAAACTATCAATTACAAATGTCAAAATGACATGACCTTGGCAACCTTGCTTCCTTGATATTGGCAGCACCTTATGGTCTCTTTCCCATATTAGGGTTTTTATCTAAAATATGTACCCCCTAAGTTTAACGGGTGAAAATATATAACCTAAAGCGTGACGTAAGTGTAGGGCTTTTTATTTAAAAAAGTGTTATTCCAAAATTTGCTGTGATTGCTGACATCTTAGGCAACAAAGAAGTGTGTGTTTACGCTTTATTATAATAGTATAGATATAGATTACGGAGTCGCGACTGGAAGCTAGTCTATATCTTTATCTATTACATATAATAAAATTGGAGTGTGTATTTGTAATTAATCCCATTTAAATCTTTTTTGTCTGTCTGTCTGTCTGCAAGCCACGTTTGCTCCGAGTAATCTCTGAAATGACTGGGCTTGACTTTTGTTGACATAGACGGGCATATTATAGGCTACTTTTTATATTAATATTGCATGGAAGAAGTTGTGGGCAACAGTTTGTTTTGAATAAATTAATTTTTTAGACTTTATATATTATACATTCAAGAAATTTACAAATGTAAACATTAATATGTAATGTAAAAAAAAACACACAACGTATACATTAATCTCTCAAAGTTTTTTTTTATTGAGAAGATGTTTTTTTCATGTAACGACATTTGTATGTGATTTGTCGTGTTAATATCTTTTACATCTATGACAAACATCAAGATCATTGAAGCAGTACAGGCTATAAACTCTAACAAACATCCATCTAAACTTTTGTATCTATACTATTATAGAGGAAAGATTTGTTATTATATGTATTGAAATAACTCAAAAACTACTAGGCCGATTCAAAAAAAATATTTCATTGTTAGAAAGGTAATTTATCTGTGAGTAAGATAGGCTATATTTTTTAATGTCTCGGGGGGGAATATTGTTTGTCTTGTCACCGAAAGCGCGGCAGCCGAAAATACAAAACAAAAAAACTTTTCATTTAACTATAACATTTATTTAAAAGTTATTTACATTATTTACAAATAGCAAAAACTACGTCGCGATCACATTTTGTACGCGTCCCTTTTTCTTTTGTTTTTCACTACTTTTTTTGATACTTAAACCATGCAATGTCTCAGTGGCCAGTATTCAA